TGGCCATCTGAAAACGGCAGCGCCTGGTTAGACTGGACACGAACGGTTTCAACTTCGACCTCGAGCGTTCTATCTGTTGCTGATGCCACTACAACTTCACCCCTTAGCACGACCACTTCAAGATATGGATATTCTGCTTGGCCGTCTGAGAACGGTAGCGCCTGGTTGGACTGGACACGAACAATTTCAACTTCGACTTCAAGCATTCTCAGTGTTGCGGATGCCACAACGGCTTCTCTAACCACAACTAGTTCTGAACGTGGATATTCTGCTTGGCCATCAGAGAGCGGTAGCGCCTGGCTAGACTGGACACGAACCGCTTCAGGATCGACCTCGACCTCGACCTCGAGCGTCCTCAGTGTTGCGGATGCTACTACAACTTCCCCAAGCACGACTAGTTTCAAGCCTACCTATTCCGCCTGGCCATCTGAAAACGGTAGCGCCTGGCTAGACTGGACACGAACGGTTTCGACCTCGACCTCTAGCGGTCTATCTGTTGCAGATGCTACGACGACTTCTCTAACCACAACTAGTTCTACACCTGCATATCCTGCTTGGCCGTCAGAAAACGGAAGCGCCTGGTTAGACTGGACAAGAACGATTTCGACTGCCACTTTCACTTCGACCTCGAGCGTTCTATCTGTTGCGGATGCCACGACCAGCTCTGGACCTGGATATTTTACTTGGCCTTCAGAAAGTGGCAGCGCCTGGCTAGACTGGACGCGGACAATCTCAACTTCAACTTCAACGTCGAGCCTTCTTAGTGTCGCGGACGCTACAACCAGTTCCGGACCTGGATATGCTACATGGCCATCAGAAAGTGGTAGCGCCTGGCTGGACTGGACGCGGACAGTTTCAACTTCAACTTCAACCTCGAGCGTTCTACCTGTTGCGGATACTACGACCAGTTCTGGACCTGGATATACTACTTGGCCATCAGAAAGTGGTAGTGCCTGGCTGGACTGGACACGAACAGTCTCAACTTCAACGTCAAGCCTTCT